GGGAGTTGGGTAGAGGAGGTGGGACGGCTGGAGGACCTGCCGGCGGTGCTTCGGGGTGGCCCTGCAGCAGGGTATCCTCAAGAGGACGCTTGGGTTCCCGTAGCGTTCTCTGACCTTTGTCACCACATAGCTTCTCAAATACAGAGTAAGCACACCAATAAGGTGGGTTTTTTTCTTCCTAGAGACAGAGACTGTCATATGGAGCATCTTCGTGTCGCAGGAGCAAGCTTTTCCATGCAGGTGTCGTGTTGACCAGCCGGTGCTCTGTACGAGAGGCGTTTGGAGGCGTGGGCAGCAAGCGCTCTGCCCCGTGGGACTTGTCCCTGAGGGAACTGCAGGGAAAACCTTTCAGTTTGTCACCTGTGCCCGTACAGCCTTCCCTGAAGGCTCCATCTGCGTCGGAGGACGTGATGGGTTGCTTTGGTGACAGCCCCTGAGGCCTGGGCGTCACGGCCCCTCGCCTGCCCTGTGCCACAGGACCCTGTCAGGATGGGATGTCCCTCCAGCCATGGAGGGGTGCCTGGCAGGACGCTGGGCAGCTTGGTTCATTTTACAACATTAATTTGTTCAAGTAAAGCTTTCCACCACGTCTTGAAATAATGTGGACGATCACGTTTGTCTGGCGATGGCTGTGGCGTCCCACAGCGAGGAGGTCAGGTGACACGTTCGTTGCCAAAGCTGTGTTGTCCACCTTTCTGTGTAGACTGTGTAAAGTATTTGAAATTATGCTTTGCTTTGGCAGTCCCTAGGTAACCGTACCAGGAAACTTCTCCCCCTTGAGCCCTTTGTCCAGCAGTACGTTGCGAGCTGCCGTGTCCAACGCTGCTGTCCGTAACCCGGTGGTTGGCTTTTCTGGGCAGCGTTCACCGCTGTCAGTAGCTGCTGTGGAGCCGGGTGCTTTGTGGAGGTACGCAGCGCTGGACGGAGAGGCAACGAATGCACGTTGCAAGGTGGGAAATGCTGATTAGAATATGAGGGGGAAGGTTATTTTTCACCTTAAAGGTGATAAAACACCAGAGCGGGACCAGGGAGGGTTGTGTGACCTGCACTTCTGGGTGTTGTCTACCTCGACTTCGGCAAGGCTTTCGACACAGTCTCCCATCACATCCTCCTAGGGAAGCTCAGGAAGTGTGGGCTGGATGAGTGGTTGGTGAGGTGGATTGAGAACTGGCTGAATGGCAGAGCTCAGAGGGTTGGCATCAGCGGCGCTGAGTCTGGTTGGAGGCCGGTAACTAGTGGTGTCCCCAGGGGTCAGTACTG